TTTCTTTGGTTCAACCTAAGTTCATGAATTGTTGTTTAATATTATATTGTTTTGCAACCACTTGCTAATGTTCAACTTTGAATCAATTAGCTTAATTTTCTCTAGATATGATTTATGTCTTCCGTGTCTAGACTTTAAAGCTTATATACATGTGTTTCCCCTTTTAGTGTCAATCCATGAGTTGTTTAGTAAACAAGTGATTCTTTAATGTGAATTTGTTCATGTACTGATCTATATTCCAGCATATGATTTGTTCAAGTTTAAATTTGTTGGTTTGTAGCTAATTTTCTCCTCTGTTTGTATAAGTTTAATTTTTGCATGATTTATTAAAATTCTTTCCCTTTATGCTTAAATTGTTTGGGCAATGTGTTGACCACTCAAAAATAATTTTGGATACTGCCTATATGTTTAAGTTTACTGTTTTTTCTTATAAGTTAATTGGATTCAGAAGTCTAAAGTTGAATATGCTCTTCACTTTGCTAATTTAATTCCTTTCGTTCTGCTGCAAATGTCCTCCCGAGTCCAATGGACTCTCATCCCATTGCATTTCCGATTTTGGGGCCAAGGTGGCCTAATGATCGTTTTTCTCGAGTCTGCCTCGAAATGGATCAAGAAGCGGAATTGAACGGGAAGCTGAAACACAATCTCGGAAAGTCCGAAAATGGGCTGTATGCAGTTTGTATACAACATTATACACTGATATACAGATCAGTGCAACAAAGACGTGACTAAAAACGAAAATACAGGTCGCTGGGGAAGAAGTGGATTGTATACATTTGGTATACGGTTCAATATACGGGAAAATTGGTCAAAATCCGACCTGTATACAAGAATATACAGATGATGTATACCAAAAACGGGATTGAGTAAAATCCCCAGAAATGGCAGCGAATTTAGGCCCAAGAGAGGCCCAAATTCAATTTCTCCTTTACCTAAATTATTTAATTATGTGATTACTCATTTATCTATTTTTTTTAATTGCGACTTAATTAAATTCCCCAAAAGATGAACCACATTCTTTATGTTAGTTTCTTTAAAAATAATTCATTCTTAACAACTCTTATATTTATTCAAATATTTTTTGTAGTCAAAACTTTCACTTATCTTTAATTAGATTAAAATAATTTTTGGGTTTATCTACCAAGTTGGTTCGAATTATTATTTCCAAAAAATGACGTAAATAAATTTTAATTAATCTAATTTTGTTAAAATCCTAATTGACCAAGTTGTTTCAATTAAGATCCTATTTTCTAAAAAATTAAGAATGATTCTTTATTTAACTATTTTTATCAAAGTTAATCGAATATCGTAAAATATTTTATATTCTTATGTTAAATCATTTTCCCAATTTTTTTTTTAAAGATATGTTCTTTAAGGGTCTTTTTCATTTAAATCACTTTTTTTTTCACTCATTCCAAAATTGTTCTAAGTTAAAGTATTTTTTTTTAATAAACTTTAAAAAATGTTAGTCAGAACCTTTTCAATTGATTAATAATAATAATAATAATAAAATATATATATATACTTACTTAAGTCATTTTCTCAAAAAAAAAAAAAAGGTTAGTAAATTAATAAGAAATGATTTTCATGTTTTAATTTATTAAATTGGTTTAAAATGAATTAAATAAATTCTAATTAATTTAGTTTTATTAATATTCCAATCACTTGTATTTCGAGTTAAATGTATCATTTTGGATCCCTTCCTCTAAAAAATAAAATGAAATAAAATGCGTCATTTATTTAATTATTTTCTTAATCAAATATATTATAAGTTATTATTTATTATGTTAAATTTTTTTTTCTTTCTAAAAATAGTCAAATATATTTTAGTCAAGTCGCAGGTAATCCGCATGTTAGCGGACACTTCGAATGCGTAAAACCCTTCTCGAAGTGTAAATTGAACCCCGAACCCTTTTTGGTATTTTCAAATGATTTTTTCTGTTTAAATCTTTGAAAATTAAAAGTTTTCTTGATTTCTTTAAAAAATTAAGTGGCGACTCTTTCTAAGTATTTTTCCCAAATTGTTTTATACTTAGAACATTTCAAAAAAGTGATTCTAGAGATAGTCAAATTACGACACAACATCATCTCTCTATTCTGAGAAAAATGATATATGTCACAACTCACCTCTAAGAGATGTTTGAGAGAAATAAAGATTAGTTGGCATGGCCGGTTGGCCATTCCGGTCCAATGTGATGCAAAAGTAATTGAGAATTCACGTGGCTTGTATGCTGAAAAAATAAAAGATTTTTCAAGAATTTTCTTTTGTTGCTTCATCTCATGATAAAAGGATCATTATATTATTATACCAGTTAAGGTTGAGATTGTATTTCCTAAGTTTTTGGAACATATAATAAGGTATGGGCCCATTCACCTGTCATGTGGACAGTTTGCAACTATATGATAGTCGCACCTATGGGATGGTCACATGTGCTTTGTTGTCAACTTACAAATTGATTTTTCTAAGGTTGTTTGCTCGAATTGTTAAATTAAGAGCACAGTTTCAAACTATAAAATTATATTGATAATGTTGGTTGGTTTAGCAGAAATCGTATACCTCCAATTATAGCTAACCCATGGGTATGAGAACAAAACTTTCAAATAAAATTTGGTATGAGATGAGTTTATTTAACATGTATCAACACATGTATGCATCAAACCAACAAGGTTTTCCCATTATAATTGGTTTAGGGTCAAGAATCAAATAATTTCCATCTAATGTTTGAATGTGCGGTATCTGATTTAATTTGATCCACTACGCACAAGATGGATCCCCAAACGAGGTTGGGGTGAATGTTAGATTTTCTAACATTAAGGGGAGAGATGATATTGATAGCTGAAAATTATGAGATGAATTATCTAGATCCTTGTTAAAAAAAAAAAGTAAACTTGAAGTTCAAGAGATAATTCATTTGCATAATGTTGCAAAGTAATTATTTGATGAATTTGCTGACCCTATATTATAATTCAGCTGCAAATGCTCCAATGACTAATTGGAGTCTCCTCCTATAATACCTATATAATGATTATCTACCACAATATACTTTGCAATCAACATAATAAACATATAATGATCAATAATTTATCTATAAATGATCGATGATTTATTTGTGATTGATCGTCACTACGTATAAGAGTTGCTCATCAAGTACATATTTGACGAAAAAATTTAATATGGTTGAGGCCCAACCAACAATAGTTGAGCGAGGCTCCATTCAATTTTTGACACTTGGATTTGTGGGCCTCATTTTAACGCCACACACTCTCTCACCTTCATTTTTTCAAATTCCTCCATTTTCCTCATAATAAGTATTTACCTCTTTTTTTTTTTAATAATCTTAAATTTTTATTTTCCAAAAGTCAAATAGAAATATGTAAATTAATATCAATTCAGTTTTAGCCTCTTTTCTCCGTGATTGCTAATATGATTAAAAAATTGAACTCCATTATAATTATAGTCTTCTTTTCTTGATTTATATATTTTTTTGATTTTTTTTTTTAAAACTTCTAACTTAAATTTCAATAATAAGTGCAACACCAAGTACAAAAAATTTCTAAAAAAATTTGAAGAACGAGTGATTTTAGAATACTTATAGGTATGCTCTCACTTACTCATTGGTGGACTTTTTTTCGGTATAATTTTTTTAAATTTTTTAGTTTTGATTGATGACAATTGAATTAACTAATAATGAATAATTAAAGGACTAAAAACAAGTGATTTTGAACATAAAATCAATTTTTAAAATCATCATAATAAAATTACAAATCAAACTAGAAAGTGAAAAAATAGAACTATTTATATAAAAGGTAACTAGATTACAAATAAAAAAATTAAAAATTTAATTTTACACAAAATACACACACACAATATATATATATATATATATATATATATATATAGA